TTGTCAAAATATTCCACTGCCTGTTCCTCTGTCTGCCCACAGTGGTTTTGTAAGTCCCAGTAATAAAATGGAATCATGGACTCATGAAATCACAGAATGGTTTGGTTTGGAAGGGACCTTAAAGATCATCTATGGATCTCCAAGGCAGGGAACACCAGGACACAAACCATCTGTGGAGTGTGGTTATTTCCAACACAGCTCAGCTCACTTAGAATCTCTTCAGAGTAAACAAAGATCTTGTCAACAGGCAAGACAATTTGAAAGTCATTCATCACATCCTGAAAGAGATGCCCACACTTGGTCAGACTACCCTAGAGTCACCTAAGATCAAGTGAAAGAAATCCCCCACCCAAGGTTGTTCCCCTGCAATGGTTATTTGTCCTTGTGAAACAAAATGGTCTCAGTCTACTTAGTCTTGATTTTAATGGCCAAGGATCCAATTTTGCACTGAATCACAACTGTCAGTTTATGGTTTTGCTGGTTACTTCAGCACAGAGGTAAAAGGGTAACAGGGCAGAGGACAGTTCTGATGATGAAATCCAATCCTGGGCTGCAACACACAACTGCATCCCACACTCCCTTTCATAAACACAGCAAGCTCTGCCACCAGGTCAATAAAACTCTCCTTCCTGCAGCCCTCCAGAAAGGCTGCTCAGTATCCTCTGATGGTTACAAGCTTCCTTTATAAAGCCCAGACTTTGATCTCACAGCCGTTTGATTCTCCTGTGTACACACTGCCAGCCTCAACTGGTCTTCCCTGCTGTTTTCTCTCTAGCTGTACCTTCTGCAGCCCTTCCCATGCTGAAAAGCTGACTTCTTCCCATCAGAAATGGTCATGCTTTTGTGACCCCTGTGTCTCTCCTGTGTCCCTGTAAAAGTCACAGAATCACAGAATGGTTTGGGTTGGAAGGGACCTTAAAGATCATCTAGATCCAAGCCCCCTGCATGGGCAGGGACACCTCCCACCAGCCCAGGCTGCTCCAAGCCCCATCCAACCTGCCCTTCAACACTGCCAGGGATGGGGCAGCCACAGCTTCCCTGGGCAACCTGATCCAGGGCCTCATCACCCTCATAGGAAAGAATTTCTTACTAATATCTAGAAACACAAGATCATAGAATCTGCTGAGTTGGAAGGGACCCATCAGGATCATCAAGTCCAACTCCTGTCCCTGTGTAGGGCACCCCAAGAATCACACCATGTGCCTGAGAGCATCATCCAAACACTTCTGATTTAAATCTACCTCTTCTTTTTGAACCTGTTCCACCTCATCACACATGTCATTGTACAAGTCCCTCCCCACCTTTCTTTTAGGCCCCCTTCAGGTACTGGAAAGCTGCTATAATCTATCCAAAATCTTGGAAAGGGAAATTTCAAGCAAACTTTTAATCAAATGTGGGTAACTTCACAGATACTGAATCACATTCCTAATAAAGAATACAGAGTATTCCATCCTGCTAATATGAAACAGCAGTCCTGTGGTTCAAGGACACCAGGAACAGCAATTGGCACCTACTACCAGCTCTGGAAACACAGAGGTTTAACTTGGAAAAAAAGCAACAATGTCACCCACTGTAAGGAGTGGGTCTGTGAAGATAAAACATTAAAGATAGATGTTCTTGTTTATCAGTTCAAACCTATCTGCTTATCCTGAGCCAGTGATCAGTCCCAGCACTACTATCAGGTGTTCTTAAGAGGTGACTAATCTATCTGACACATCAAATTACCCCTGTGATTAAGCCCCTCTGATCAATACAATGGATAATGGCTTCTAAACAAAGCTTTATTACCAGGCTGCACCGAAACGCTGTGTTTCCTTATTTCCACTCATTTAATTAGAAAGGATAAGTAATTGGTTGTTAAACCTCCAGTGATTTTCTTTTTGCTAAAAGGATGTGGAATGCACAGAAGGCAACACACCTCCCTGGGCATCTATCAAGGTATTACACTACAGATGGCAGGGAATCTCACCAGCTTTCCATTCTTCTTCTCCAGGGGACAGAACTGTGGTCAGATTATATTTGTTTTCCTGGCAGTTTTACTGGGATTTTTTCTGTCCAGCAACACTCAGACTCAACAGTTACCTCTCTTATCAACACCTTCATAAGGTTTCTCACCAACAAACTTCCCCCTCAACCCCAACTGTCAAAGCTCAAAGTTTTAGTTTGCACCTGTGCTCAGCTCCATTGATCGAGCTGTGGAGCCTCACGCCAGGAAAACAACATTTCTTTTGATCTACTTGTGCTCACACACTCTGTGCCTTGAACACTCCCAGGGGGAAACACACCCCATTTAGGTACATTGGAGTTACCTGTCCACACCACTTTCAAAACTGACTTCTCCATAAGATGACTGACCCAGTTGAGAGCCAATGCTTTGGAGATGCTGGTTTCTCTCTGTTGATTGCAAAGGCAGCCTTGAGTGTCCAGCTAAGGGTCAGGTACTGAGCTCTTCACACCTGCTGATGTTTTGGGGCAAACAATTTACATTCTAAAATTTGTTTGGACAAATGTTGTGCCCCTACACACACTTGCTCCACATTGATTTCATCTACAACCACTTCAACCAAGGACATGCAGACATACACAAACATCATCTGCCCTGACCTCAGGTTAATGTAGCAGATACAGTCCCCATGGATAAAAACCACTTTATAGTGCTCACAACTGCAGTTTCTGAATCTGTTTCATTTAATGACTACAGGGAGTGACTGGTGGAAATGTAAAATTATCCCAGTCCAATATTTCAGCCTGCCAAGGGAGGTGGTGGAGTCACCATCCTTGGATGTATTAAAGAAATGGGTAGATGAGGAACTTCAGAGCAGGCTCTAGTGGCTGAGATTGTAGGTTCTGTGTTTGTGGGTTGTTTTTTTGGGGGTGTGGTTTTGTGGAGTTTGGGGTACTTTGGGGTTGTTGTTTTCCTTGTTTGGTAGTTTGGGGTTTTGCTTAATTTTGGGTTTTGGTGGTTTTTTTTGTTTGGACTCAGTGATCTCAGAGGTCTTTTCCAACCATGACTATTCTGTGATTCTGTGATTATGAAAAACATACTCCAAAGGATTTTTTTTTATACTTGCCAGTGCTTGGGCATTAAGGGCTTGCAATACAACTGAGTGTGGTTTTACACCAGAACTGGGAAAAAATATTTCCAATGGTTTAATTCAGCAGAAAGAAGAAAAAAAAAAACAACAAAGCAAAACAACAAAAACTGTTTTGGATTAAACTTTCTAATGAGAAAAATAATAATCTTGAAAAAGCAGGAAAAAAATACATCAAGTATTTATTATTTCATTTTGAATGTACTGTATTTAATTGAATTTCGTTAAATATCCATGAAAGTGAAATTAAGCATTTAGTTGGTTTTCAGATGGAGCTTTTTAACTACTCTGACATTTCCCTTTAGTGGATTCCAGGAGAACATTTCTTCAAATTGCTCCATTTAACTGTACAGGGACACTTGAAATAGTCTCTGAATCAAAGAAAACCACATCTTAGCAGATAAAAGCAGAGGCCAAAAGCCACCCTTGAGTTCAGCAAAGCTCCTTCAGGGCTCAGTCTGCAGCCTTAACTGCAAGGAATGCCAAGGGGGAGGGGATGAGAAGACACCCTCTTCCACATTTTCCTCTTTCAGGAGGTGGGATACGTAGAATCACAGAATTGTTTGAGCTGGAAAAGACCTTTAAGATCATTAAGTCCAAGTGTTAACCCAGCCCTGCCAAGGCCACCACTAAACCATGTCCCTGAACACCACATCTAGGCAGCTTCTAACACCTCCAGGGATGGGGGCTTCAGAACCTCCCTGGGCAGCCTGGGCCAGTGTTTGATGCACAAGTATCAAGCAGGTTATGTATCTTCCCACCCCTTCCCCCAGCAGTGTGACCCCTTGTTTCCGAGCCTGACAGGCTCCCACTGGTCCCTACACCTCCTTTACTCATTAAACCAGGACCTGTAACTTGAGAGAGGGATGTGGAGAGGAAGAGGTCCAACCCAATGGCTCACTCTTGGGTCTTTGACAGCACTGCTGCGGGATGGGATGGGCCAACACCAAAACCAAAAGCTTTCTCTTCCAGTCACACTAACTCTACAAGTTAAGACCCTTCATGGGTGGATGTGTCAGAATTTTCCAAGCTCTGTGCAGGCTGCCCACAGGGGAATTGTGCTAGCACAGAGACTGTCAACATCTCCCACCCGTGTCCTGTCTCGCAGGTTGGTCTGCAGCTCCTCTGCTCACAGCAACATCCTGAAGCTTATCTCCTCCTCTGAATCCCCATGTACCTGAGGTGGGGTGTGCCATGGCTGCCCCTCAAGGGAGGAACAGCTCCATGGCTGCTGCCAAAGGCTGGGATGGAGAAGCCTTGGGAGTCTGGAGAGCAAAGGTGGCATTGTTGACCTGGTGCCCCTCTCACGGCCACTGAGGCAGGGAGTGGGTTAAGGGGACAGGAGAACCTTCCAGGATGATTGTCCAATCTTGTGTGTGCTCCATGTCATGAGAACAAGAAGAATATCACAGCCACCTGACCCAACTCCATAGATACCTTGCAACCTTAGAGCACAACTTTCCTTCCTCTGCTTTGCCACCAGAACAGGAGGCATTTTGGCAGGAGGACAGGAGGACTGTTCAGGTCAATGGAAGGAGAAGGTTGCCAGGACTCCTACTGAAGCAAACCAAGGTCTGTGAGAACGCTGGGTTTTCAGATTCCAGGGAAAAATTGGTTAAGGCACTTCCAGTTCAGAGAGAGGGATGGCTGGCTGTGATTAAACACACCCAGACACCTAAGCTAGGCTGATCCAGTGAGTGGTTCCCTGCGAGCTCTTCAAACTCTTGGTTGATTGAATCCTACTTAGAAGTTGTTATTTCTTTCCCTCCCAATGTAAAACCTCAGCACCAGTGGAAGTGACCATCCTGATCCAGCAGCAGAAGGGGTGAGAAATGGCACAGGCAAGGCGGGTGTGAGGCTGAGTGATGTTGGCTTGCAGGCCAGGGAGAGAAGGAAGGGTCTCCATACCTGAGGTCTGGTTTTCCCCAGTGAGCTCTGCCAGGCACTGGCTCCGTTCCTCTTCAATCTCCTGCATGATGCTGCACTCCGGGCGTGTGCTGGAGGCCTGCAGACAGGGCAGAGAAGGAGAGAGTCAGCAAAACCCTGCTGCCCTCAGAGATGAGTTCCCGGGGTTTCATGGCCACCTGAGCTCTCCAGGACCACTGCACAAAGAGGAGATACACCCAGCCAATGTTGATGTTTGCTTGAGAGAAGGGAGTGTAACCCAGAGCCTGCTAAATACACAGCATTTACTTCCATGCTTTCCTTAAAAAAAACCCAAATCAACCTTTTTTCTTTTTTTTTTTTTCTGATCATCAGGAGCAATTCACCTTCTTCATGCTCTGGGAACCCTGACTGACCTAACACCACCAGCTATCTAGGGCAGGAAGACGGCAGCTTTAATATTCATGGCAGGAGCAGAGGGACCTGTGTTTACACGGTTTATTCCCTCCCTTCTCATGTGGGCTGCCTCCTGGCCCATGCTAATTCAAAGCAAAACAAAACCCCAAATCAAATCTGATGCAGATTAGGAGATCAAGGAGCTAAAAAGCAGGAAATTCCCAGTGACAAGACTTTTCCCCTCAAGTGGCTGCTCCTCAGTCAGACCTAATTATAGTGTGTTTGCAATACGACAGCGGCTATAAATGTTCAGGTAATTAACCATGGACTCCTTACAACATGTAATTCATTCATGATTCAATCATAAAATGTGCAAACGACAATTTATGCTCCAAAAAAGAACAAGGAGCTGGACAATGGGTCACTTAACACAGTGTCCCCTGGCTACCAACAGGTTCTGAGCTTGGAGGGCACCTCTGGCTTCATGACTACGGTGACTGCCAGCAGAAATGGAGGTCCCATCACACATGGCACTCCACAAACCCCCATCTTCTTCAAAGAGATTAGAAATAGAAGGAAGAAACCTGTTGAGAAGCTCAGCTGCAAAGAGAAGGTGAGAGGGGAATGATGTAAAGAGAGCAGAAGTCTCAGCTGAGTTTATACCATCACTGTTCAATGTGATGCAGCAAAAACCACGAGTCAGGTGAGCTGCAGGGACAGGTTTTGAGGAGAGGGGAAGAGCTGTTCCCTGTAAGTCATTGGCTCAGTGCCCACTCTTGCTGGATTTTGGAAAGGGCAAATATTTTCATCAGAAAGAGGCAGAGAAAAACAAACAAACAAATAAAACAACCTTCCCATGTCTCATTTCAAAATGTGTGAGAAATTTCTCTATCCAACTATTTGCCAGATAAGTTTGTAAGACAGAAGGCCCAGAAATCTTTTGAAGGAACAATTGTTTGATGTTAATCGTGCTTTGGATTAAAATGATAAGTTAGCATATTATATTTATTCTCACCACTTCTTATTAACTAAACCTGCTCTCTTCCCTGTTTCACCACATCTTGTTCAGACTATAATTTCCTTCAGGTTGGGAATGGGCCTTGATTAGTAACATTTAAACAATTAATCATGCAGTTTTCTAGTCAAAAACAAAAATAAAAACCAAACATGAGAAGTGGGGAGAGGGAGAATTGTTTGGAGTTGTCTTGGTATTAAAATGTTTCTTTTTCCTAAAGGGAAACAGATCTTAGGAAATATTATCTTGGCTCATTTAAAATACTATTGATTCATTTTGGTTTGCTTTACAGTGCTTCTTGCCTTTTTATTTTAACCTTAAAAAAGCATGAGGAGAAGCCTGAGAGATTTGCAGAACCCTTGCTGTAAAAATAAAGATTGAAATGTTTTCATAACATTCAGACTTTTCCAAAGAAAAGGCTTAACTCTCTGGACTGAAACAATTGCCAAATTCATCTCCCATCTATAAATAACTCCAGTTTTCACTTTATAAATTAATTCATACAGCTCTACCTTTGATCAGGGCTGGCAAAGTGCTCTGCACTTCTACAACATGTTTAGGTGGGGTTTTTTCCTGCAGTACATTTTCTACCTACCCCATTAGCAAGTACCTCACTGCCACATCCTCCCTTCACTAAAAATGAAGGCCTCAGTTGGTTAATTGCATATTTACTTCAACAACCCATTGCTTACTTTTCAGCAAATATTTTATCACCTTTCAAGACCACAATGAGGCCAACCCATCATTAGCACTCCCAAGATAGATTCAGGTAAACTTGATTAGAGATGTCATTTTAAAAGTACATTTTTTTCATCCAGTCCAAGAGGAAAGACATCTGTGTTAGGCAAACCACTGGAAAAAAGAGTGTCCAACACCCAAAATACCAAAATACAGGTGATCTTGGCTTTTGTAGTGGTCCTGCTGCCCTGCTGTGAGCTTTTAAGCAGGGTGGGTGGCTCCATTGACTGAAGGAATATTTAGATGCTTCACTGATTTCAGGCAGAGCCAGGAACTGAGGTGGGATTGAGTCTCCCAAATAGAGGCATCTACCAACAGATCTCATTCCAGGAGGCATGGATCCATGCAAATCTTATGTTGGATCTGCCAGTGCCAAAACAGCTGCCTCATATATAGGAAGCTCTCCAGAGCAGCACTAGATAGGTAAAAGCAAAAAGAAAGCTTAGATGTAACACCAAGTTGGGCCTGAGGGTAGGAAGGCTCTGCAGAAGGACCTGGACAGAATGGATAGATGGGCTGAGGCCAATTATATGAGGTTCAACAAGGCCAAGTGCAGGGTCTTGCTCTAGGGTCAAAACAACCCCACAAAATGCTCCAGGCTTGGGGAAGAATGGCTGAAAAGTGCCTGGAAGAAAAGGACCTGGGGGTGGTGGTCCACAGGAGCTGAATATGAGCCAGTATGTGCCCAGGTGGCCAGGAGTGCCAACAGCATCCTGGCTTCTATCAGCAATAGTGTGGCCAGCAGGAGCAGGGCAGGGATCATACCCCTGGGCTGGGCCCTGCTGAGGCTGCACCCCAAAACCTGGGGGCAGGGCTGGGCCCCTCAGGACAAGGAGGACATGGAGGGGCTGGAGCGTGTCCAGAGAAGGGCAAGGGAGCTGGGGAAGGGGCTGGAGCACAAGGCTGAGCAGGAGCAGCTGAGGGAGCTGGGGGTGTCCAGCCTGGAGCAAAGGAGGCTGAGGGGAGACCTGCTGGCTCTGCAGCTGCCTGAGAGGAGGTTGGAGCCAGGGGGGTCGGGCTCTGCTCCCCAGGAACAAGGGATGGGACAAGAGGAACCGGCCTCAGGTTGTGCCAGGGGAGGTGGAGGTTGGATATCAGGAAACATCTCTTTACTGAAAAGGTTGTCAGACCCTGGCCCAGGCTGCCCAGGGAGGTGCTGGAGTTCCCATCCCTGCAGGTGTTTAAAAGCCACATAGATGTGGTGCTGAGGGACATGGTTTAGTGGTGGCCTGGGCAGGGCTGGGATAATGACTGAGCTTGATCATCTTAAGGGTCCTTTCCAACCTAAATGATTCCATAAACAAACAAAAAACCAACGTGGACTGTATCTCACCTCCTCTGTCAGTGGGACACATCTTCCTTTATTTTAGCTGGGTAAACACTTCACATTGAGTCTGAAGGGACTTGTACCATTCCTTGTAGTCCACAGAGAGTGAGGGAACACCAGCTCTGAAGGCATCCATCACACTCCACTGATTACAGGTGGACCAGTTCTAACTAAAATGCATACAATTAAGCTGGGGAAGGTCAGTGATGTGTGAATTTAATGTCTAAAGACCTTTAACTGGATCATCAAGGTCAACAAACAGATTGACATTGGAGGCTTTCTAGTTTATGGCTCCTTTTCCATATTAACTAAACAAGTAATAAACAACCCAAACCATCTCAGCAACTTCCCTTCTACCTCCCCAGTGCTAACACTAATAACCCTCACATATCTCAGCTGTCAATGTTGTGGACTAACAAAGCCAGCTGGAGAGGTGGAGGGAGAAATAAATAACTAAAACCCACAGTTTTGGGCATCATTAGGAAACACAAAAGTGTTTTTTTCTGCTGGTAGGCCATCAGCTCAGCTGGTATGATGGTGAGCAGTGCAGCAAGCTCAGCTGCTTTAAATCACCTCCCAGGTGACAAAAATCCTCATGGCTGATAAGACCCCTCAAGAGCTGGTTTGGATTGGAAGGGACCTTAAACATCATCTAGTTCCAACCCCCATGGACACCTCCCACTACACCAAGTTGCTCCCATCTAACTTGGTCTTCAACATCTGGGGGTGAGGCTTCTACAACTTTCCTGGGCAACCTGTGCCAGGGTCTCACCACCCTCACACTAAAGAAATTCCTCCTAATGTCTGACCTAAATCTTCCCTGTTCAAATTTTTATCCATTACCCCTTGTCCTCTCACTACACACCCTGGTAAAAACCCCCTCCCCAGCTTTCCTGGAGCCCCTTCAGGCACTGGAAGGTGCTCTAAGGTCTCCCTGGAGCCTTCTCTTCTCCAGGCTGAACACCCCAACTCTCTCAGCCTGTTTCCATAGCAAAGCTACTCCAGACCTTGGATCATCTTCATGGCCCTTCTCTGGACTCTCTCCAGGAGCTCTGTGTCCCTCTTATGTTGGGGGCTCCTGAACTGGACACAGTATTCCATTGTGGGGGAAGCTGACAGTCAGTAACCCTACCTTTGCTAAGCTCTCCTGGCACGCCCAAGATACCATGTCAGAAATTGTGGTGGGTTTGTCTAGGGGTCATTTTTCCTCTGAAGTCCTGAGTAGAAAGATGAAGGACATGTTTTTCTGGACATGATTTCCTGCAGCTCTGAATTCTGCAGCAACCCCTGTGTGGAATTATCCCCAAAGTCTTTATTAATGAGAGTTTTCCTTCTCACCGGATCCCAACAGTTTTTAGAGGATTATTGCACATTCTGCTACTGCAGAATTGTGTACACTCTTAATTAAATATAATTCCAAGGGTTGCCACAGGCTGAAGAAACTGCAGAGAGGTTTAATCTCATCTAAGCTGTCTGTCCTAGCAGGCCCAGGCTAACCATGGGCCAACACCTTTGCTCCTCCAAGGCAGATCCTCAAAGGCAGGTGGGATTCACAGCAAAGCCACAGCTGCAGGTAAACAGCAGAAAGGGAGCACAAGAAATGAAGTGAGCCTCAGCACCTCTGTTTCTCTTGCTAGTTCTGAGGAGTGTTCCT